TGACACCCTCAGGGAGGTTCCCCTACCTCTCCTGAATGACTTGGCCCATCCCTTGGAGTGGGCATGGGAATAGGTTACTTACAGAAAGGGAGTTTTGCCCTCTGTAGATGGGCAGGTTTCCTAGGCTCTCTGTTCTGCCTCCCTCTGGCCTCTTTGCTGCAGGGAACTGGGAATCTTCACCCTCATCAGACCCAGTTGGGGAAGGTCAACATGGCAACTTCCAAGTTAGCTGAAGCTACTGTGCTTCCATCTCTCCTACCCCAGTGGTGTCTGTGAGCCCAGATCTAATGTAACTGTTGGAGGACTCCTACAGTAGGTGACTCAGTGTATTGGGTTGGAGTGGGGTTTTCCTTTCCTGCAGTGCACTGAACTGTGAGGGGAGAGGGGGCCATGCTGCTGAATTCTGTCTGGCATTCCCTTCTTGTATAAAATGGGGCCTCTGGGGATAGGGCAGCCTCTGCTTGGGTTTGGTTGTAAGTAAACCTGGAGGATAAAGCACAGTTGTCCCATTGAATTATTTGAGCAAAAAACTACTGTAAATAACTTTGTTTTTGTCTTTTGTCAAATAAAGTTGTTCTGTTTTTGTTTATTTTTAAAATGTAACAGTTCTTGATTGATCCTTTATGGCTCTGGGGACCAAGTACTGTTTTTACTCTGCCTTACCTCCTTCACTCTTCCTTTTAGCCATCTGTGTGAGTTTTGTACATCCTGCGCCCCTATTTCTTTTCCCTAGTCCTATTCTATAACCCATTCATCACAATGTAAGGGAACATATGTATCCCATGCTGGACCAGTCCTCCTGAGATCAGCAGTTAAGCTTTGGGCTTGCTATGTGATCTGGGTATGAACTTGGGGAAATGGCAACTTTGTCCTTTCCCTCTCAGAAAAGAACATGAAGCCAACACAAAGAGAAGTAGATAGGAGACCAGTGCTCCAGTCATGTCTGAAGCCAGTACTACCCCACTTCCCTATTGTATAAGCTAGTAATTCCCCTGTTGGTTTTTCTCTACGAATGCATTTCCACCACATGGAAATAACAATACACTAATGTCAACCCAAAGTACAGAAACCAGGGTCTGTAATGGTAGTTTTATTGTGAGTGGGTCTTTGTGATGTTCATTATGTCTTAAAATTTTTGTGCACACAGAGAAAATGAATGCCCCTTTAGGTAAAGGAACTGGGTGGGGCTAGACACTGGTATTCATCTGTAATCCTCCCTACGCAGAAGACTCACAAACCAGCCTGGGCAATTAAGTAAGACCCTTATCTCAAAATTTTAAAAAGGCTGGGAATGTAGCTCAGTGGTAAAGGGCCCCAACGTTCAATCCCTAGTACCCACCTGCAAAAGCTGTTATACAACTAAAGTGGCTTCTTGGCTTCTCCCCAGTATACCTGGATAGAGGATGTTTAATCTCCCATTGGTATTCAATTTACCCAGATTCAGGAGCAATTCCTTTGCCCATTCATCCAAGGTCCTGATTTTTCACTCCTAAACTGAACACTTAGCTCTGAAGCTTAGAAGAATAGGTTAGTGCTAGAAGGACTCTTCAAAGTAAATTTTTCAATTCATTTACATCTGGAGAATGAATATTAATATTTCCCTAAAAAGGAGAAGTGGTTTGGATGGTTCAACTGCTTAACAAGAGCTGCTTCTTGCAATGCTTTTCAAAGAATTGAAACAAAAACCATTTTCTGCA